CGGCAACAGCAGCAGCAGCACATGGACTCAACCGGAAAAGGAGCAGGAGGAGGAGGAGCGCGCACGAGCACTCCTAACTCCAGTGTCCACTACGGCCACAAGCGATGTGCCAACTACAGCAGCAGCAATGGCGGCGGTGGTGGTGGCGGAAATGGAAACAGCGCCGCCAACAGTGACGACGACAGTGGGCGGGGAAACACCGCCAACAGCTGCAATGGAGTGACTGGGGGTGGAAGTGCAGGAGGAGGCAGTGGTAGTGGTGGGCGACGGAAAAGGACGGCACTTCTGCGAGGCAATGGCGGTAAAGGCGTCGGTGAGGAGGGAGGAGGAGCCGCCTGCAACAGCAGTGCCACCAACAGCAACAATGCGAGCTTCAGCAGTGGCCGAGCAAGGAGACACAACTCGGCCACGTTGCCCAATTCAGCTGCTGTTGGCGCTGGTGATGAGGCCGAGATGGAGGTCTCTTCTCTGTGGAATCACTCCTCCCCACCAATGTTGAGCAGTCCACAACTGGCAGAAGAGGTTTCCGCAGCCATTTCGTCCTCATACAGCTGCACCTGCAAGGAGTCCAATACTACCACCACCACCACGCCAAGCACTTCTAAATGGCACACTCGAATTTGTCGATGCGGCTCCAACGGGTCAACTACTGCTGCTGGAGGCGGCGGTGGTGGTGGTGGTGGTGGTGAAGGTTGCAACTGTCAGCCTGATTCAGAGTTTCAAGAGTCCTCAAACACTCCCTCCTCATCGTACTCTCAAAGTGATGCGGCAAAGGATGATCACCAAAGTCGACAGCTGAGCCGGAATCGGAACCAAAAGACTGGTTCCCGTTTTCGTATTTTTCGAACTTGGCGACAACAGCATAAGCACTGTCCGGTTCACCACAAAAATCATCAACAACAAAATGACAGTGACCACTGTGACCAGCAGAGCAATCTGCTGACAAAGAGCACCTGGCTTCCGCCTTTGTCTTCGGTTGAGCAGCCGCCGCCGTCGTTGCAGAAGCAGCAGAGCGGTGATGCCTCTGGCGGTGGTAACAGTAGTCTGAGCTTCAGTCTGTCCCAAGAGAAAACGACAAAAAACGGCACTACTGCTTTCTAGCAGTAACAAGAACAACTTTTTCTAGTCTCATCTGCAAATTCTCATCACCCCTCATCAGCATTCTCCTTTGGTACATTTTTTCATTTTTCATCAACATCATATTCCACAATTCCTGAATCTCATTGAAAAGTTTTTTTGAAACAAAAAATCTAACAAATTGACAAATGAACAAACAAACAAACAAACAATTGCGAAACAAACTATGCAAACATTGCTTTCTTTTTTCACCTTCATCGGCCTTACCTGAACCAGAGCATTCCCTGTTACCTTCTATCTATCTTTTTCTCTCTTTTCTATTGATCCGTTTATATGCAAAACAAATCTATCTATCTTTCTCTATGTTTAATAAATTGAGCAAACAAAAAAATGGTGATCATGTTGACTTTCCCATAAAAACTATCTCTCAGTTCATTTGATTATGCCCTCGTAGGTGTCGCTACCGCCAAACCAAATAAATAAATCATGATGATGATAAATCATGGCCATGCAGTGTCAATGATTACATGGACATTGCTTTAACTGGTGTTACTAAGCAAAACGCGGTAATCTGAAGGCTTTAGCAAAAAAGTAAACTGTTTTTCTATCATCGTTCCGTTCAAGGGCAAATGCAAAATCACTTGCTCTGTTCGCGAAAACGAGCAAGAGTATCTGATTACAGGCGGTGGTTTTTCTGGTGATTAGCAGTGGTGATTGTCTGGTCTGTCTGGCAAAGACATCATTACTATGTTATCGGCGTCGTTACAACAAGTATTTTCTAGTAATATCAGGCAGTGTGAATAGAGAGAACAAAATATTTGATGAAGAACATGTACAAGTGTTGCAAGTGTGAGCCCCCTTCTTCTTCTGCGGCTCTTCTGTAATTTGCGTNACTATGTTATCGGCGTCGTTACAACAAGTATTTTCTAGTAATATCAGGCAGTGTGAATAGAGAGAACAAAATATTTGATGAAGAACATGTACAAGTGTTGCAAGTGAGAGCTCCCTTCTTCTGCGGCTCTTCTGTAATTTGCACCCCCACTCTTCTCCGATTAGTATTTGCCAAATCACCCTCGATATTAAAATGCTCAATAGAGAAGTAGAAGTGATTGGGAAGTGAAAGGCAGAAATCAAAGCAGAAAAAGCAGCTAAAACAATAGTAATAACAGTAATATTCTTCGGCAAACGTGCTCTATCATTTGGCAGGGCATCCACTGCCTGCTCCCCAGTAGTAAGCAGATCATCATCATCACCGTCATCATTCTCCTCTCTGGAAGCGACTACTGTTGCGGCTGTGTATATGCTCACCATATCACCAGGCTACTCCTCTTACGGCTTCTATTGCAGCATCCATTGCAAAGTGTTTGTTTGCCTTCTCACTACCACCACCACCAGCACTGGTCGTAGTGGAAGCCCAGTGTTTAGGCAAATATTTGCTCAGTAACTGCTGCTGCTGCTGCTGTTGGTGTTGANCCACCACCACCAGCACTGGTCGTAGTGGAAGCCCAGTGTTTAGGCAAATATTTGCTCAGTAACTGCTGCTGCTATTGATGGTGTTGGTGGTGGCTAGGGAAAGCACACCGATGCAGCCAGTGTTTGTCTGCTCATTTACAGTACTGTGATGAAGTAGATTCCAATGCTCTCTTTAAGATTTCGAAAGCGATTCCGAATGCTCGGTGCGGAAGATCAAAACAGCCATGTGATCATACTTAATCGCTGCCTTTGCCCCCCCCCCCTTTCAGCAGGAGCACGGCTTCTTCCGCCGACCCATCTTGAGTCTTGGGCAGCAGCAGCAGCAGCAAAGAGCACCGACTGGCCACATGTGCGAGGGTGAACAAGTGCGCACACGATCACACGAGCACCCTCTTCCTGCCAACTGGAAAGGGAGAGAGAGACGGGGAGNGAGCACGGCTTCTTCCGCCGACCCATCTTGAGTCTTGGGCAGCAGCAGCAGCAGCAAAGAGCACCGACTGGCCACATGTGCGAGGGTGAACAAGTGCGCACACGATCACACGAGCACCCTCTTCCTGCCAACTGGAAAGGGAGAGAGAGAAACGGGGAAGAAAAGCTGGGCGTTCAGAAAGTTGATCTGAAAATTATTATTAGTATTCAGGAGCAGGAGCAGACGGATCGAGGGCAACAGCAGCAGCAGCAGCCGTTTCAGGTGCTGGAGGAAAATTGCCTGTCGATGCTGAAGACTGCATCAGTGCAGGCGCATCAGTGCACTAATCACTGCACCGGCGACCGAAAGAGAACGGAAAAAGAAAACAACAATGCACGAAGAGTCTTTCTCTCTTTCTCTCTCTCTCCTTTACCTACCACCACCAGTGAATGGATCACGTTAAATCGATTAGCCATAGTTCAATGGTCGCAGCTCAGCGAGTGATTATGGTTCACTTGTCAGTTGATGGATGCGACTCCTGCAACAGCAACAGCGGCGGCTGCAGCCACGGCGGCAGTAGACTTCGGCATCTGCAATGAGTGGCCAGTTGCTGCTGAAGATGCTGCTGCTGCTGCTGCTGCAACAGCATCTTCAGCTGTCGGCGGCCGTGGCAGCAGCGGCAGCATCTAAAGATGACGGTCGAACTGAGCGAGTCCGACTGAACTAAGGATGAGCGCCCAGTGTCTGTTTGTCCGTCTGTCTTCCTTCCCTCTCCTGGACGCTCACAGTTGGCCACTTAGCACCAGCACTCTTCTTCAGTGCTACTTCTTATTCTCCCTCTCTTCGTCTTCTGTGCCTGGGCAGTGCACTCTTCGGTGGCTTCAATGGCCGGTCAGTTGGTGAAGCAGAGGCAGCAGCAGTGGTCGTGGTGGATCACAGTGCCCCATCGCACACTGTCGGCGGTGGCGAGGGTGGAGGCAGATAGCTTGCTGAGATATCACTCATTTTTGGCGTAAAATGCGCGATTCTCAGCCATATACTGACTACAAATCAAGCACCTTTATTATTTATTGGCGCTGAGATCTAAAAAATGCCCGACAATGACAGGTGATCTGCACTAGAACCGGCACACTGTTTCGCGAGCACACTGTAGCCAGCTGGGCTGCCTCTAGAGGACCACTGAAGCCAGTGGCATTGCCGCCGTCTGAGACTGCGGCGCAGAGGATTCTCCCGTCGTGGCAGCCTAGCAGCAGCCCCTTATCTTTCGCTGCCCTGCACTGTGCGAGCAGCAGCATCAACGGGAGAAACTGCCGCTGTTTGAGAGAGAGAGGAAGAAATAGAAACAACACAACATCAACTTCTGCTGCTGATGCTTCTAATCTGTCGGGTGGACGACGACGACGACAGCGACAGCGACAACGTTCTTCTGTTCTTCTGCTCCTGTAGTCGATGTTGATGTGTGTGTTGATGTTGTGTCTGCTCACCGATGAACGCACCTCAATCTGCTGGCACTCTCTCCTGAAGTCACCAAAACACCACCGACGGCAACACTGGCCACCAGGGACCAAACACTTCACTTGATACTCAACCAGTGATGAGCATTCAGTGAGAATCACCACTGAATCCACCCCCTCAAACGATGTTCTTCTTGAGTCCTTTTCACCAGCCTCATAGAACTGACCAATTGAAGTGCACCAAATCGGCCAGATGAACAGCCTTTTCATTGGCCGGAGAAAACACTCATTTACTGGGACAATGATCACCTAAATTGCCTAAAGTAGAATCCATATACTGTGATGCTTCTAGCACTTAACGGTCTCATTTTTTACTCATCTTTGTAATTCGCTCCTGAATGCACTACGGGAACTCCACTCACAGGAGGAACTGTGAATCTTCAAGCACATCATTACGACCTTATTTTACACTTTTTTCGACAAGTGACCAACGATCCACATCATATCAGAGACACGGCTGCTGTTGCTGCCGTAGCAGGTGCCACTAGCACCAGTCCCGTCCGAAGGAGGAGATGATGGAGACAATGATGCCTGAAATGGCGGTAGGTGGTGACCAGCACCATCAACAGCAGCAGCAACAGCAGCACCTCCATCACCTGCATCAGCTGTCGCCCACTTCGGTCACCGGCTCATCTCCACCACCGCCGCTTGCACTTTCCCCACAATCTGCTGATGTTATGCCGCAACAACAACTAGGTCCAACAGCAGCAGCAGCAGCCACTGCAGCACTATCAACAGCATCAGCTGCCTCATCTGTTTTGCCGAAGCTGAACGAGATTCGCTGTCCTCCGGCGTCAAACAGCGAGACCAAGGTGATCTACCACATGGATGACAAGGACATTCCGACGATGGTCAGGATACCGATTGCACCGTCGGTCATCACCTTACGCGACCTGAAAGCTTACCTTTCACTGCGAAACTCCTCCAACTACAAGTTTTACTTTAAAGCTCGCGACAAAGACTGTGGCATCGTCAAGGAGGAGATCTTTCATGACAACACACCACTGCCATTCTTTCAAGATAAGGTGGTCGCCTATGTAAGTACCTTTGTGTTTGTTGTCTCAGAGTTTTTCTTTCTATACAACCAGAAGCACTGCTAGGTAGCGGGATAGTTTATTTTTAATTTGTGATTCATAGGAAAATTAAATTAACGCAGTTGAACTCGTTTGAACCGTTTTAGTGTTTGTGGTGGTGATGTGCGCACATTTATATTGACAAAATGCTAACTAACTGTCGGTGTGTGTCATCTAAGTGAGTAGGTGGCCCGCAGTAAATATGATTTAAAATGAAAAGGTACACACTGCTCAATTCAGGCGAACCGCTATCAGCATCGATCAGTGTCAGGAGCGAGCTTTTAGCTTTTAGGTTTTAGTAGCTTTTTGATAGTTCACTGTAGCCATTAATAGTCGCAGTGATTTTTCTTCTTGACTTTTTTTTGCCTTGCGTCGCTTACCTGTTGACTCGTCAATGGTAGTGGTCAGACTTGAATTAGACATCAGGCATCTTTTTCTTTTCCTCACTCCCAAAGACAATCATCATGCTGTGACAGACTGAAAACCATTAATCACCTCCTCAGCTAGCAACTTGTAGGTTAGGCAGCGTGAATTTTTGTTTTATTTTACTGTGCAGCCGAAAGTTTTTTTGCTGTATTAAAGAAGCGACAAATTTTTGCACAACATTTAACAAATTGGTTTAGCGTACCTATGCTACAATGTAATAAAAACAAAAAACTGAAAAAGGGGTAGCATTGGAGGGTTGTCGATGGGCAATTAGCAAGCTAAATAAAAAGACTGATGCGGCACAACGCTTTTAGTCAGCACGCCTAGAGTTGTTTGATCTTTCTCCGGCAAAGGCCGCTCGAAGAAGTGTTCAATCAATTGGACAACTCTACTTTGCTTGCCTGTCCATCGATTGCTATCTGTGACTTTTTATTGCTCTTTCTCTTTCTCTACCTCTCTCACTCTTTTTTCCTTCTGCTAATACGACTATCCGGTGATTGAGTGGATGTCCACTTGGGCTGCTGTTGAGTTGGTCAGTTACCTGCTGATGTTTACTCTGATGATGATGATGATGATGATGGTAATGGTGATGGTGATGATGTTGATAATAGCATTGGCGGCGGCATGTTTGCTCTTTTTCACCGCCCGCTAATTATAACTCTGTGTCCGGTGAGGTACAACTCTCCCTCTCCTTTTCCCCCTTCTAATGAGGCGCCTAATTAGTCTACTAGTATCAGTACTGCTCACTTTTAATCCATCTACCGCTTTATCTTCATTTTTATTGTTGACTTTTTTTTCATTAATTTGTTCCCCTTTTTTTCCCTGCAGATTGAAAGCATCGAGGGCGCCAATTCTCCGATTGGTGGCGGCGGTGGCAGTGAAGGTGGAATGGCACTGTCGTCCACCAACGACAGTCGAAGCAAACATGACGATGCTCTGCCGAAGACGCGCCATGGCCTCGTTTCCGATTCCACATTGTAAGTGCTCATGAGATGCTCGCCATTTACCACCAGTCGTCCAATTTAGGCGGTTGATTAATGAGGGAGTCAAGAGTCAGCTGAAGGAGAGAGAAAGAAGTAGACATTTAGTGCGCCAGCGAAATTGCCATTTTAAATCGCACAACCAGGCGATTAAATAACTGTTGCTAAATTGCGATGCCGCTGTAGAAGAGGAGAGAGAAAGAATGATTTATATATTTTAGACGAATGCTGCTGCTGCAGCGGATGCTGAGAAGGAAGACACTTCGACTAAAGTTGGCACTGCAGCGAAAATTGGCCGTTTATGCTAATTTGCAAAACCTCTTCTTTCTTCTTGCTCTAACTTATCTCTTTTCTCACTCTTTAGCTCCACTGACCACGGCGGCGACAGTACTACGGAGACTGACTCGATGATTAGTTCACGTCGTGGCGGACAGTATCTCAGTAAGTGCTTACTCTTTCACCATTTGTCACCACCATCTTCTGTTTGGTGGTTTTTGTCAGAGAGAACTGTGTCATGTTATAATCTTCTTTTTGTTTTCTTACCAGGTTCACGCCACCGGAACTATTGCAAGGGCTCGAGCAATCATCACTCCCGGTACGGCAAGTGCGGCAATCGACGGTCTGGGCATCACCATGGCGGCTACGACTCTTCGGTGGTGTCTACCTCTGACATGGAGTCGTATGTCGATTCGGACGATGATGATGACGAGGATGACTACGACGACGAGGACGAGGACGACGATGATGAGGACTTTATGGAGGGTGACGTTGACTCGGAGGAGGAAAGAGGAGGAGGAGGAGGCAGGAGGGGCCACGACTTTGATGACTACCGCTCCGACTACACCTCAACGACGGAGGAGACGAGCGTCNCTACGACGACGAGGACGAGGACGACGATGATGAGGACTTTATGGAGGGTGAAGTAGACTCGGAGGAGGAGGGAAGAGGAGGCAGGAGGGGCCACGACTTTGATGACTACCGCTCCGACTACACCTCAACGACGGAGGAGACGAGCGTTTCGAGGCAGTACCTGAGAAAGGGAAGAAACGCCCACTCGAACAGAAGGAGAAGTAATCATCACGGCCACCACAAAGGCCATCACCACCACCACCACTACCGAAATCGAAATAATATGAGCAGGGTGAGTGATCACTTTTTCTCCTTCTCTTTCATTTGCTTGATTGCTAATTTGTTTTTCTCTCTCTTTCTTTTCTTCCATTTTTCTGCCAACGCTTGACACCCCAACTACAACAAAACTAAAATTGGTTTAGACTTCCTCGGCGAGCTCCTTCTCGGAGATGTCCTACGACGTGATTACCGTGAAACTGAACCTCGACGTCGTCAACTACCTCGGCATCAGCTTGGTGGGGCAGACGAGTCAGAAGGGCGACGGCGGCATCTACGTCAGTTCGATCATGAAGGGCGGCGCCGTGGACATTGACGGGCGCATCCACCCGGGCGACATGATCCTCCAGGTGAACGAAACTAACTTTTCCAATCTGACAAACGACGAGGCGGTCAATGTGATTCGAGAGGCGGTGAAGAAGCCGGGGCCAATTAAGCTGCTGGTCGCCAAGACCTGGGACCCCAATCCGAAGGGCCACTTTACCATTCCGCGCTCAGAGCCGGTGCGGCCCATTGATCCGGGCGCCTGGGTAGCTCACACGGAGGCGGCTCGTGCCAAGTACACCAGTAAGTTTTTGTTTGCCGAAGGTTGTCATTGCAGTCAAGCTTATTTCTCTCCTGTTTTTTGCCGCCATTTAGGTCACGAAACTAACCTCCCCCTAACTGAGTCAACGCTTGCAAGCTACAACGCCAGTGCCATTGTCAGTTCAGTGCTGCCGCCCTCCGCTGAGATGGCCGCCGCGGCCGTGGCCAGCGGCAGTGATCGCTTCCTGATGACTGCGCAGCTTCAGCACCATCTGCACCATCACCAGTCTTCACTGACGCCCTTTTCCAGCGTCATTGGCCCCTCTGTTCCGGGCAATGCCTACGCCGCCTCCTCTGCCACCTCCACCTCGATGACCTACCCGGCAACGGCGCTGCCCTCAGCTCAGGTGGCAGGAAGCGACGGCGGCGGAGGCGGCAGCCCCCTTCGAGGAGGCTCCTTCAAGGCGGCTGGGCTGGTTGGCAGTGTGCAGTCAGCTGGCGGTCAGCACTCGGTGACCATCTCCAACGCCGTGACCACGGTGGCGCCGGCAGTGCCGCTGAGCACGGAGAGCAGTCTGGAGACGATTGCAGCGGCGATGGCCAGTCCCGACTCGGGCCTGGACATTCGCGACCGAATGTGGCTGAAGATTCGCATTCCCAGCGCCTTCATCGGCTCGGACGTGGTCAGCTGGCTGTACTCGTACGTGGCCGGCTTCAGCGAGCGCAAGGACGCGAAGAAGGTCGCCTCGAGGCTGCTCAAGGAGGGCTTCATACGGCACACCATCAACCTGAAGAACTCATTCTCGGAGAAGTGCTACTACGTCTTCAGTGAGGCGGTGCTCCACAAGGTGGTTCAGCACAGCACAGCAGGCCACCAGCTAGAGTCGAGCGGAGTGTCCAGTCTGGAGGATGGCTTTGCAAACAGCCTCAGACTGACCAATGAAAACTTTCAGCCAACGTCTTCGGTGGACCAGCTGGCTGCCCTTTCTCAACAGCAGCATCAGCAACAACAACAACAACAGCCGCCGCCGCCTGGTCACTGGTCTGGCCTGGCTGCCACTCCGGAGATGCTGATGATGATGGGAGGAGGAGGAGGAGGCGCCACCAAGCCCAATTCAATATACCCTTCAATGCCCTTTATGCGTTACTGGGATGAAACTAGTGAGATTCAAAACTACGGTCTGATTGGGCCTAACTCGGACGAAGGTGTCGGAATACTGGACAGTCTTCACCACTCTTCAGGTGAGTACTTTGAGCATTTCAATGAATGGCTGTACTTTAACTCGTTTTACCTTTAGGTTTAAACGGCACCACTAATCACCACCTGCAACACCACCCCCAGCACCACCTTCACGACCCGTATCAGAGCGACGAGCAGATGAGCCAGCGAAGTGGACAGTCGGTGCTGTTCAATCCAGCGGCAGCAGTAGGAGGCAGTGCCCATCTGGCCGGCGGCGCCCTTCACGCAGTCAACTCCAACACGATGGGCAGCTCAGGCAGCGCCGGCAGTCGACTGACCAACAGCTCTGCCTCTAACAACAACAGCAACAACCAGCACCAGTCATCGTCGACGACTACTGTCGTCTCCAACGGAAATGGCAGCAGCACGGCCAACTCGGCCAACGGCGG